CATCGCCGTTTCGCCACAGGAATCGCTTGGCGCATCTATCCTGTGGTCGAATTAACACTTGATGGAAAATCTCTCGCATGACTCCACAAACGCCAACGGCACCTTCCCGAAAATGGAAGAGAACAGTTGGAAGCGACTTATAGTGTTGAGGGCCCTTGAATAATACCGAATTCAATGAAATATCACCAGTCTTTGCTGCCGCGTCGAACACCAGTCTTATCTTAACAGGCTTATGTGGATATTCAACTCCAAAGTGCGGTAGATACCAAAGTTTGTCGCTGTTAGCTAAAGCGACATCACGCTGTTTCAATCGTCGAGTATATCATTAATGAACATAGTCGTCCATAATTTTCATATAGGCTTGTTTAAACCGATAGACACGCTTCATATTTCTCTCAATGTTGACCAATCTTTTGTATGCCATATCATAGCTTCGCGGCAACTCAACATTATCAGGGTTCCATAATAAACCCGTCTGATAACGTTCTCCTATTTTCACCGTGGTGTCTTCGAGTATCCTCTGTTCTCGTGCATCGTTGCTGGCTGCGACTGGTGACGTTAGCTTCACACCGAAGTCTTCGAAATTAAAATAGTCGTTTACCATCTTTTGGTAAGGCATGACTTTGAGAGTGCGTCCTCGGTGACGCCCTTCATTATTCTGGTGAATGCTGGCATGCAGCACTCTACGCCTTTGCTCCTTACTATCGACGTCCAAAATCGTACATACTACATTGGCGTAGTCCGTTAACCACGCGCTAAAATGTAAGACAGTCGTAAAAGGCCTAATCGTAGCTGCATATCTGGCCCATTCCACCCTCTTGCTTGATGCCAGCTTAGCGACCAAATCCTCCATCAGTGTGGGATTCGCTAAATGCTACTCTTCATTAGCCGATTGTAGAAAGGCAGCAAGCATACCTGCACCTCCGTTTAGCATACCCGCACCTCTCAAATACTAATAAGGTGGCTGCGTAATAGCTGTTCTGGGTGGCCATATCTGAAACGTAATTGTTCCATTACGTTGTTCACATTCTTGGGATAAATGAGCAACGACTTCACAGTATCACGTGCTTCGCCTTTGAGTGCCTTCAACAATCTGGTTATTCTCCAAATTCGTACAGCTGTACGCCAAAGTTTTTTCCGTAGGAGGTTGGCCTCCAAACTCGGGTTGATCTGGTAATTTGCGTGGCGGGCATACATCGTTCCTGGGAGTCGTCCATGCGAAGTTCCCAGTTACCTGCGTTGGCTCCAAAAGTATCGCTTCTTGGTTCTCCTGTGCCGGAGGGTAGCTGAGCGTTGGCTGAGCAATGCCTGCACAGCAATATGTAGTCGAGCAGCTTGATGTTGTAGAACAGGTATCCACAACTGTAGCTCGTCCTACCATTTGCAACTGTGTTCCCAGATTTCCACACAATGACGTAGGCAATCCCTCACTCAAAGAGTGCAATCTGTTCAAAATGGCGGTTCCACTCAAAATCGCTATTTCACTCAAACTTAGTCTTGAATTTGGGACTGCACACATAGTTGCAGTATCACTCAAACTTCCACTCAACGATGGCTCTCCACTCAAAGCTCCGATCAAATATGGCGGCAGGTTAGCTGTACCACTCGCGCCAACAATAAACAAACTAGGGGGTTTAGTAACTATACTCACATGTGCATAACCAGTTTTTGACCTCTGCCACTCGTGCTCTAGCGCAGCGTCTCTCTTCATCAAATCCATGACTTGCGTACTTAAGAGTTGCGTGCTTGGGTTTGGCGCTCCTGTCAACATGCTGGCTCGTGCACTGCCTCCCGCTGCCACAGTACCGGCAGGCTGTACACTTGTGCGCACTGCTAACAGCGGGAACTTGCATTTGTGATACAGTGCTCACCGTTGTACTTGTCCGCTTCGGCTGCGTCTCACTCGCCGTGGTAGCTATCTTCTGGCCATCGTTCAAGCGTGGGGTGACTGTTGTGTCATCGTACTCAGCTCGGAGATGTTTTCTACTATATTTTATGCTGGCTGCGTACCAATAGTGACTCTATAACTGGGTAGAGGCCCTGACTATGCTATGTCCATGTACACACTGTAACTCTAAAGATACACCACGTCTTGTCTCAGCGCAAGTCCCCCGTGCAGTTTCTTACTATAAGATCTGCGAATAAAAGATCATGTCGCGTGCCAACTGAAGTTGGAGTTTTAATTTGAACACTGCACGGTTTACACATGGCCCCCGGCCATGTTACTTCGATGTTAATAGAGACAGCGTAATGCAAAACGTACTAGAGCAAGTGTTTTATTCTGAACGGATTACATAGCCAAATACAATGTGCGCGTTCATTCAGAGGGCAAAAATACATACTTTCAGAATATACTTAATACTAAACAATCGATAACGTAATTCAAGGGTTAAAGGGTTTTATGAGAGACTGTCCTTTTTATCAAATTTAACGCTCAAAATCTGTTTAAGCATTTATTGACATTGTAAAAAATGTCGGCTAAAGGGTTTTATGGCAGGTCATAACGGTCGAAATGTCTAGCTTACGTCTGCATCCCTAACAAAATGTAAGCTTGCGTCAAGTGCGGCTTACTTATTTTTATTGAGTATTCAATGCGGCCTCAAGTCCGCCGCAGGCATGCCAACAAAAAAACAAAGACCGCGCCCGTCGCCCAAATTTACGCACCCATTGAATTAGAATATTTCTCTCCCACGACTAACCCTTGATCAGCTCATTCGCACACATTTGTGAGTATGTGTTTGTGTGCGTGCAGGGCTCGAAATTCAGAAGTGCCAATAACTTCAAGCTTTGTCAAATTTGCATCGCGCAGGCAGGCAGACAACCAACATGCACGCAAACGCATAAATGCTTCCATCCATATAGAAAAGCGCGTACGTGTGCCTGCTTGGCCGGCCAACGTTCAGGTACCCTTACCCTTTCAACAAGCATGGGAAATAGCAATTTGGCACATAAGTAGGCCAAACCCTTTAATAACATCACACACTTGCTTACTCGAAAGAGTGTGCGTGTGCACAAACAATAAGTCACAAAAATTGAACAATGTCAATCATTGGTCTTTTCTGAAAATTCTTACAAGCCGACGATGAATTACCCTTGCAGAAATACGATTTAGATATTTTTTTATTTTAAGAAAAATTGGTCCTACAGTGGTTGGAAAATAAATATAAATGGCTGACTGGACAAAGAAATACATGATAGAGCATTTAAATATGACTGCCTATTGCCTCCGCAGGCACAAAAGGCAAATAATTGACGAAATAACCTCTGTTTCGCGACAAACGCCGCGATCTACTTGTGGTCACATCCACACAACACAAACATTTTAATGTTTGTCGATCTCGTTCGGCTGCTACTCTCAGCAGTCTTGCTCTGTCTGGGCACACTAAAATGGTCGCAGGTACCCTTGGGGTTGCCTCGTTTTGATTTTTGTTTGTTTCCATAAAACGGGCCATTTGGTATGCCTATGCATTGCATAGTTAGTGATATATGTTACGTATCTTGCATTTTATACCTTTCCCCACCTTCCGGCTACCACCACAGAGCTATAAATCAAGTTAATAACTCAACCTTTATACCCAACCAATTTAATCAACAATTTAAATGCAATTGCCTTTTTCAAAATAACAATAAGATATACTGTAGAAAATTTCATAAAAATCTGTTAAGAAAAAACCAAAGTTATATTTAATTGCGCAATCGGATGGGGCAGCTAGCGAAACTTTAAGAATTTCTGTATACATGTACACAAACACATTCATGCGCGTCTGCTTCGCATTCTATCGCAGTCTAACAGCATAGCTATTGCGATTTTTTTCTGTAATGCTATTTTAGTTTATTATACCCTGAAGCCATTAAAAATGGGTATAAGGGTATATTGTATTTGTGCGAAAACCAAATGTATGTAACAGACAGAAGGAAGCATCTCCGACCCCATAAAGTATATATATTCTTGATCAGCATCAATAGACGAGTCGATCTAGCCATGTCCGTCTGTCTGTCCGTCCGTCAGTCCGTATGTATGAACGCAAGGATCTCAGAACATATAAGAGCTATGAAATATTAGATGTAGGTGCTCCTAGTGCCTGCGCAGATTAAGTTTGTTTCCGATAATCGATAACTTACTCCGTTTTCCAAGCAATCGATAAAAATCGATATCGTATCCTGTTTTTTGGGCAATTTTTGTAAATAATAAGAGCTAGAGACTCCAAAATTGTCATATAACTTCTAAAATAGAATATATATATGCATTTGATGTTGGAAGAAGACGGTTCAGGGTATCCCCTAGTCGGGAGCTCCTGACTAGAACCTCTTACTTGTTTTTTAAATTTATTTGGTGTTGGAAGCGCGAGCGCGTACGTATGAAACTCTATACATATATGTCTCTCTGTACGTCCGTTTGCTCCAATTCATCTAGTCTCTCAGTCCTCATATATATGCAAAATCCTATTGAGATCGGACAACAATAAAATATGGCTGCCATAGGAACCATCGGTCGAAAATTAAGTTTTTGTATGAAAACCATTTTTGTTATCAATATATCTTAACCAAACTCGGCATTTATTAGTTTCACGATCGGACCACTATATCATATTCTTAGCTGCCATAGGAACGATCGGTCGAAAATTAAGTTGTTGTATGGAAAACATTTTGTCGTTTATGTCGTTTATTTCGCCACGCTGCTTTCATCTTTGGAAAGTCTTATATATCTGCCGTGGTTTTTGATTTTGTTTACCAAGAGATCATGACCAAACTCGGCATTAACTATTTCCCTGTGCTTCCTAGATACGGGCAAAGCACTATAGGCATTATAAGAAGGTTGGGTCTGCAAGGGAATTAAGCCTTCGGCATGTTGGTCGACTTTTAATTGATTCAAATCATCATATAAGTATAATCTGTATTTTTCGGTATGAGATATGTAGGAAATGGGAGAATTATTATTTATTATTTAGATTTATTATTTATAAATATTAATATAATAATAACCAATTTTTTTAGTATCGTCATAAATATAGCACAAGCGTTCTAGAGACATATATACAAGGAAACAAGGTGCCTTTCAGTTTCCTTTTTATGCTCGTGGTTCAATTTGTTACTATCGTAACGGAGCGTGCGATATACTTACGAAAGGCGTTGGTTGTCAAAATCGTGTTCCATTTCGTAACGGTTATTGGAATACACATATGGATGTTCTTTTTGGTGCCATATGTTACAGCGCACAGTTTCGGGGCTACCGCACCAACCGTCTTTTATCTTATCAAATGCCTTCATATGTTATTATCAGCCTATCAAATGCGTTGTGGCTACCCAAGGCGCATTTTGGGAAATGTATTTACAAAAAGTTTTTCAATGGTTAACTATGTAGCGTTTAAAGTGTAAGCAAATACGAAATGGATAAGACTTTCATATAATTTTTATTATATTAAAATAATACCGTTTTAGTTACATGGAAATACCATTTCTCTATATTCTTCGAACAATGCTGGATTGGTTATGCATTGATACCACACTTACAGTTATGGAATGGATTAAGATGGAAGATATTTTTCAATCTGTATTTATAGTGCGATGCTATAGGCAAATGGATGCAGATTTTCCAGTTTTACGGGGTGAGCCGAAGGCGTTTTATGCCAAATGCCTAATAGGTGGAACTATTATATTAATATTAATAGCACTCATATGGAGCCCGTTATTTCTATTTGCCCTTGTCGGAACAGTGGGCAAACCGAATGTTCCTCGCAGAGCTGATATAGCCGTTAAAATTGGACATTATGAACCTATTTATGTTTCTCAAAGTTATTCTGGTATACACCAGTTTACTGATGATAACTATAAAGAGCTGATTAAGAGCTTTAATTTCGATATATTTGCCACTGATCATATTATGATATATGATTCCGTGGATATTACCGCAGTTAAATTTGATGCCAACTCAGTGACATTATGGAATATGTCACCACCTGATAAGAAACGTTTGTTAAGCGACTTAAATACAGGTATAAAAAAATGCAACTCCAAAATGATATTTTTCATAATAAATTGTGGTTACAGGTAAAAAAATGGATATTCGAATAAGATTATCATTTAATTGCGGCGTTATGACTGATACAATACTATATGAAACGACATACTCCCTTACCAAGAATAGGGAATTGACTCGTGAAATGCTCATAAAAACGTTGTCTGATGAAAATAGTAATGAAAAAGTCGTTGTACCTGAAATATTACCAAAATTCATTACAGTTCAGAAAATGCAGGTGTATGCAAAATTTATCAAAGATTTCGATGGTGCGTATATATAATTTATATTTATTATTTAACTATGCTATGCACTATGCTACCCACTTAGTGTTTTTCTTAAACTAAAAACTACAAGCACAGCCGCTGAAATCTCCGCACTTAAGGCAGTGCACAATTTTAATACAGCCGTTTTTGGAATACATAAAATTACCAGATTCTTTGGATTCATTGCTTTTAGCGTAATGTGGACATTCTGCGATTGTGTTGTGATGAAACCTGTACAGGTAACAGCTAAAACACCCATGACTATTGACTACAAATTCATACCTGAGTTGTGTTCAGAATGGTAGCATTGAATACATTGCTTACAATCGGCTGTTTTGCTTCTGACCACATGTGTTCAGTCTGCCATTTCGGTCGGTTCTGTGGGTGTATTTTTATTTATTTTCTTAATTTCACGCTCGTTTTCTATGCCGTCTTGGATGTTTTTCCGTTGTCGTAAACAAAGCCATGCTGGCTATATGGTTGTCCGGAGACAAGTCGTTTCTGCCCACCACGTGCTCGGTGTACTCAACCATCCCGTACCTACAATGCTCTTAGTACATGTCGTCTTCATGCAGGTAAGCTTGCCACGTCGTTTCGAAATTCTTGCGCTTTAGCTCGTTTTCGATGGTTAGGAAACCTAAGAGTTGCTATGTGCGCATTTAAAATATTCTGGCTTCGATAACACGCATACTTTCATATTTTGTTTATAAATAGAACAGTTTAAGCGCTTATGTGCTTTGCAAAGTTGACAAGGAGACCCTACGTGCGGCCAGCCCTACGGCGCCACAAGACTAAGGATCGAGCCACAAAAGGCAGAGCTTCAACAGGCGAAGAAGAAAGTCCTTTTCAATAGCGTTTTACCACCCTGGTCTAAAGTCTGGGGCGAGGGAACCTGAAAGGCAATCCAACTCTGGGTCTTCTCTGAATTGTTAAAAAATAAGAGAGACAGACAACTGTATGGTTATTGGTTGTAGATTTGTTAATATCGATTGTGCGGACTGCGGGCCAGAGGTGGGACTACACCCAGAGAACCGATGAGCCAGTCGGCGCGGAACAAACCAAAGCGTGAAACGATCAGTTCCGTAACACTATTAGCATTACTCCATATATCCATATCCAGACGCGCATCTTTTTTGAATTCTATCAACAGCATTGCAATTGTTATTATATTGTAATTGGTGCTGTGCGTATGTGTTATTATTTAAATCCGTTTTTTCTACTGAGTGTCAATTGGTAGTGTGGTCTGATATGGGTTCGAGTCATATTAAAAGCTATATATATTTTTTTTAAATTAATTTTTACTACTGCTAAAGCAAACGAGCATGTAGTATTGGTAGAATACTTTCACGGTATAGGAATAGGTTTACGGTATCCTCAAGTCAGGAGCTCCCGGCTACAGCCTCATGCGTGTTATTTTTAAACCCTTGAAGATGTGATTACAATTTTGTCGTGAAATGTTTGACGCATAGAAGTAGACATCTCCAACAGTATAATACATATATACTCTTGATCAGTGTCGACAGTCGAGTCGATATAGTTATATCCGTCTTTTCGTCAGGCGGTCTATGTTCCTAGTCTCAGCCTAAAAGCTAATGTCATGATATTTTGTTAAAGTCACTCCCTCTGTTGCATGCAGTACATAGGTCGGAACTGTCTTGATTGGAAAGTTGGTTTTACTATGAACAGCTTTGTTGTTTATCCAGATATCTTAACCAAACGCGGCATTTATTACTTTTACTATGAGTCTCATTAACGTAAAGTAATTAATTCATAAACTTCATTCATTATACCCTGAACCCATTGAAAATGGGTAAGAAGGGTATTATGTAGGAAAAAATTCTAGTTGTATTTATTTTAAAGTGGTCGATTTTCTAGCTTTCCTAACATTGTTGTGGGTTATTGAATTGTTGACTTGACGTTTGGGGCCGAGTGCGTATGTCTAATTTGGTGCCTCACAATACAAATGCTCAAGTGGGCCTAGCATATGGATGACGTCTAAGTGGCTTCGGAGTTGGGGCTGCTAAAGTTATTGCGGAGGTTGGTATTAAAGGAAAATTGATTTTGAAAAATATCATGCCTATTGTTGTAGAATAGAAGAATAAATTATTAGTATGAAATAAATAGTTTTATTTGGAATTTTACAATTACGAAGCTGATTATTTCATAAACAGAATTTAAAATTGAAATGAATATGAAAATTAACCCACAATAGATTGAAATTACATGAATAATTACATTTATGGTTCACAGTACAGCTGGCTTGCTGACCATACATTTTCTTCATTCTATAGCTATTTAATTTTGACGAATTTAAAATGTTTCTGTTCTAAATAATTTTATTCATTTAATATAATATTTTGGTTTTCCTTTATATTCCATAATCCCATTGAAAAAGGGAAATGTATGTAACAGGCAGATGGAAACATCTCCGACCCCAACAAGTATGTATATTCTAGCCATGTCCCTCTGTTTATACTTCCTTCTGTCCATTTATCTGTCCGTCCACATGTCTAAGCGCAAGGATCTCAGAACTTATAATTACAGACTTAAAATTTCTGGAACAGGTTCTTCTAGTGCCCGCGCGGTACGAGTTTGTTTCCGATAATCGATTACCGTGTTTCCAAACAATCAATAGAAAACCATATTAAGTCTTGTAAGCTGAGGAGCTAGATTCACCATTTGCCCTCTCTCTCTCTCTGTCCATACACCTACCCCCTTTTTGTCAATGCCTAGCCACTTGGATTCATCTCCAATGTTGTTTTTATTGCCCATTAGACCCCGTACTCGAACCTGCCCCAGTTAACCAAACTGCTTCAGCACCGTCAGCTCCTCGACGCAAAGGTGGACCTGCGTCTAATCTGGCCCAGATTGTGAAGAACAATCGTGATTTTCAGGTTTTTTCGAACAATTTTATTTTGCATAGTAAGGATCGACCGACTCGAGGTGGTGGGAAATTAATTCCCGTTAAAGCCACCTTCCAGTTTAAACTGTTCTGTTTTAGTACGCATACTGAGATTGAGATTGTCTTAGTTGAGCTGTCTTTTCCTACACGGAATATCTATATTACGTGCTCTTATGTTCCTCTTACTTCTGATATTCAAGTTTATATGAAACATATTATTTGTATTAAAGATGTTTCTTCACATGTGCGAGATAATGAACTACTTATTTATGGTGGAGTGGGTGATTTTTATTTGCTGAATATCTCTTGGTCATTATTGTGTACTCAGTGCACTCAGCACAGCATGACTCTATAGATTGCGTGCTAGACCTTTCCTTGTTTCAAATAAATTCAATTTCCTATCATTTGAATAGATCTCTTGATCTGGTGTTTGTTATTGATTACCTTATTGCTTATGTGTAGAAGTCCCGTCCTCTATCCCTTCCTGAGATTCAATTCCAATCCGGTCGTTTCACATTCATCAGCTACCTATAAGCCCTGCAGATACATTCGCAAAGGACACTATTCCTTGCTTAATCAAGGTATTCATGAAATCAATTGGTCTTTTTTATAATACCAGATTGATTTGAATATTTTTATTTTTCGAGTATTCACTTGGCTAAATATTCTAAAGCCAAGTCGAACTTCTCAATGCTATAAAAATATCTTACATTTTACAAAAGGCAATTTGACCGAAACCCGAGAGAGGTAAATAATTTTGTAAACTTTAATCGTAAGCCTTCAAGTTTGCCATCTTCATTTTTTTCGGGATAGATAAAGCTTGCAATGATTCAGATTCTGCTAACCTCTTGGCTAATTTTTTCCTATCAACTTACTCTACCGTCTGTTCTAATACTTATTTTTACCCTTATACTATTTCTTCCTCTAGATCTATAACTCCTCCCATTACTTCTCCTTTTAACTATAAACTCTTTAAAATCTTCTTTTTCTCCTGGACCTGACAATATTCCTAGTTGTCTACTCAAGGACTGTAGTTCTTCCTTTCTTTATTCTTTGCAAAATCTTTATTTTCTATCCCTTGAATTGTCTTTCTATCTGTTTGGAAAGAATCGTATATCGTTCTTCTCAAAAGGAAAGGTGGAAAGTGTAATATACAAAATTACAAGGGCATTGCAAAACTGTCTGCTATTCCTAAACTATTTAAAACAATAATCACTTTGAATTTGCAGCATTTCTGCAAATCAGTTGTTTTTCCTGTTCAACATGGATTCGTAAAGAATCGGTCAACTACGACCAATCTGCTTGAGTTTACTTCCTTGGTAAATGATGCTTTCTTTTCGAAAATGCAAACTGATGTCATTTACACTGACTTCAGTAAGGCGTTTGACTCTGTGCACCATGACATTTTACTTTTTAAACTTGACCGAATAAGTTTCCCTCCGTCTCTTTTGCTTTGGATTAATTCTTATTTAAAAGGTAGGATTCAAAGAGTAATGCTTAGGCTGCCTACCTCTAAACAGGCTCACGTTACTTCTAGTGTTCCTCAAGGTAGTCATCTTGGACCCTTACTGTTTACTCTTATAAATGGTCTCCCCTTGGTTATATCACATGCCCAGGTACTTATATATGCGGATGCTGTGAAATTTATTCTATCATACACTTATCTCTCCCTTGTTCGTCCTATCTTTGAATACTGCTCTTGCATCTGGTCTCCGCAGTATAACAATAGCCAGGATCGTATTGTATCTTTTCAGAAGCAATTTCTGCTTTTTGCATTATGACCAGCAGACTGCTTCTTCTTATAGCCTCTGTCCACTGGTTTAAGAAATGTCACATTTTCAAATATCACATATTAGTGTTCCACCGGTTGTCGGTAACATGTGAGTGGCAAAAGTACCGCGTTTTAAAAAAAACAGCTGATTGAGTTTCTTTAATTTACATAGACGCCGGAAAATTCTTCTTCCAAAGCTCAAAATTTGCGGTCTCGAAGTATGGGCTCCATTTTAGGTACTCTTTTCGAGATTTTGCCATGTTTAAATTCTAAAAACTGTGGGACTATTTTAATATTAAATTTCTAATTTAGAGTTGCCGCTTGCCTTTATTAATATATCAGCTGTTGATGTTTATGATACTTTACCATTTTTCACAACATCGCAAAAAACACGGTGTTCGGGGCGAATTTACACATTTTTTAAAAATGTGCCACTTTTAAAAGATATGTGAAATGTGGTTTCTTATGGGAACACGCACAAACGTATTTCACACATTTGTCAAAAATGTGACATTTTATGAAATGTTTGAGAAATGTGTACAGTGGACAGAGGCTATTAATCTTCCGTCGTCAACCAACCGTAGACAATTCTCAGTCTTGTCTTCCTACATATGTTGATTGTTGGCGGTATAGATTCTCCTTGAGTGTTAGGGCGTCTTTAATTCTATGTTCCATCCAGACCAACCAGAAATTATCGCCCCTTATTCCTATCCACGTGCACAACAGACTACACAATGCACAATCCTTTTTGGGTGCTATGTAAAGATTAAAATAGTTTGCATCACGTTTTCTCTACCGAAGTTTCCCTATCCCGTAATAAAATCGTTTTTTCAGGATACCTCTGGGAAGTCACTGACTATTTTTATTTTCTTTCCTTTTGCCTATTTATTTTATTTTCTTAATTAATTAAGCTAGGTACGATTATTTTTAAATTGTACTAAGGAACACTATTTTCTCTACTATCGCCCTTCTTCTTTCTATAAGCTCTAATAGAGTCACTGACAAAATTTGCTGTGAAAAGGGGCACAGCTGGCCGGACTAGCATGTAAAACTCCTCCATCGGACGGTGATGTTATTAGTAAATTGTGTACTCCAGCGAGGCTTTATATTGAATATTGTATTATAGTGAAGAGGCACTCGTGTTGTCGATGTATAAATATAAAAAATATAAAAAAGTAACTTATTCTGTTCTGTTCTATTGTATTCTTTTGTAAAGTAGCTTCTCAGTCTTACCCAGGTCCACTCTACAAAAAATTTGTTGTTTGCCGAGACGCGAAGCTGAAAAGGGTATCAAAGGGATAACTCCGCCACAGAGTGGTTATTAATACTGTTGATGAAAAGGGTATCCGCTGGGATCGCTGTGCTGCTGTAAGGTTAGAGTCGGCCTGCGTGATGGCTGCTGCTTGGGTCGCTCCGGCGCAAACGAAAGCCTGAAAATGCACAATACCGCACAGATAACACGCAA